AAAAAAAAAAAAGAATAATTGCCAGAGCAAGAAGTTAGCTATTGGGTTGTCAGAAAAGTCATGATATATTTTCTCTATACAAAAATGTGTCTTGACTTCTGACAACCCAATAGTATCAGCTTGGACTTCTAAAGTTCAGGCTGATAAGCCAGGGAAAAGCTGTGATCCTCCTAAATAGTACAATAATAACGTCGAGTGTTGCACATTTCTGTACCAAAATACATCACCATGAGCCTTTTTAATCTTCGTAGCAACCTTATAAGGTAGATAATAATCATTAGTAAATAGAAGAGGATGCATATCCTGACAGGTCTATAATCTTGACCAGTATATAATAGGTTATGACTTTAGTACAAGCAGTAGGGAAAAAAATTAATACCTAAGTCTCTACATCTTTCTATGATGTTGTAACGACCAGCAGGAGCAGAGGTACCAAGCTGACCTATGATGGTTACATGTGAATCTTAGGCATATATACTTAATTATCCTGTACTACAGAGATTTCTATTGTAATTCACTTAAATTTTCTTTTTAAAAAATTATTTATTTTTTAATATCATTTTTTTTAATTTGCTATAGCGCATGTGCAATCATGAGAGAGAGAGAGAGAGGGTGAGACAGCTAAGTCTAGGACTCAAACTGTGATTGGCCATGTCCTTTAAACACTGTCTTACCTGCTGGCTCCCTAAGTTTTCTTATGTAAGGTTGCATTTAAGTCTATTAGAGGAAATTTGTTTTACTCTATGAATGTATTCTAGTTCTCTGTGATTATAATTTTTCCTTTCTTTTTCCCTCTAGGAATGAAGCTTGGAGATACATGGGTGGCTTTGCAAACAATGTTTCCTTCATTGGTGCATTATTAAAAGGGTTCAAGTGGGGATTTGCTGCATTTGTGGTAGCTGTAGGGACCGAATACTTCCTGGAATCCTCAAATAAAGATAAAAAACATCACTGAAGAAATACCTGGAAGTATCTTAGTGACTTCTTAACTCTTATAAAATATTTCTCCACTTAGTCTGCCTGTTTGTGTGTTAGTCCCTTTTAAGGGACAATACTGGTAAGATTTAATAAATTAAAATCATGCCAGTCTGTTTTTGTCATTCTTAAAAAAGCTTCAAGTCATATTATATTTGGAATACATGGTAGTATCAGTGCATTCTGTATAGAATAGACACCAGCATATATCTGACTTAAACAGAATGGATATTTTCCCCCTTTTTTGGAGCAAGAGAGAGATTTTCCCTTTAGGATGCATGTGCTTGCCAGGAAGACAGAGACAGACAGACAGCAAGAAATCACCCCGTAGGGGGCTGGCCACACAGCAATTCCTTCTTCTCCATTCTCCTCTTAGAAAATTTTGGGTGCACACACACACACCTGCCCAAACTGAGTTTTAAGCCACCAGGTCCAGGACAAACCACAGTAAACTACATGGGAGTCCAGTAATATAGCCATTATGCCATCTGCTGGTCCCACAAAATGGGTATTTTCTAACAAGTTTTTTTTTTTTTCTTTTAATTTGCTAAAGGACTCATTTGGTCACCATAAAGAAATAGAGAGGGAAATGAGAAAGCATTCCTGGGGGATGGTTATCCCAAAATTCCTTCTCTTTTCCTCTCAGGATTTAGAGCACACACACACACATGCACAGTGTATTTTTCAAGTCAACAGGTTCAGGACTTGAACTATGCAGTTGGCCATGTAGGATCCAGCTGGTCTAGCCAACTGCCCATTTAAAAACCTGTTAGAGAGCCAGCCAGTGGGGTGGTGCTTCAGATGAATAGATTCCACGTGGCCATCCGTGCAGTTAAGAGTCCTGCACTTGACTGTTTGGAAGACATACCCAAAATCCCAAGAAGAGAAAGGAAAAAGAGATTGTGGTGTGACTATCCACACATAGTCTCACAAATATAAATGTGAGTGATCTCTGAATGAATGAGACAGAGGAATTATTCCTAATTAGCTGATAATGATACATGGAATGTGTTAAATCAGAAAGACTTGGGGCTGGCAGGTGATGTGGTGATTAAGGTGCTGAACTCCCACATGGCTGACTGCAGTTCAAGTCCCAGACCTGGCTTCTCACTTTGCCTTTCTCTTTCTCTGTCAAGTTAAAAAAGTTAAATAAATATAATAAATAATTCTTTTAAAAAATCAGAAAGACTCAGTGAAAAAGAAGATAAGGAAAGAATTTCAATGGAACCTACAGATGGTATAATGGTTACATCAATCAATTCCCACATATTCGACTGGTAGAAGTCCTGGACCTGGCAGATTAAAACACTGTGTGCATGTGTATGCATGCCAAAAGTCCCAAGAGGAGAAGGGATTGTGGCATGGCCATCTGCCTTGGGGGGGGGGAGGTTATTTCTTGCTTTCTGTCTCTCTTCAGCGAGCACAAGTGTCCTATAGCAAGAGTCTCTCAAAAGGAAAATTTTTCAAAAGAAAGAGCAATGGAACACAGAAAAGGCAAGATAACAGACTTACACTTAATCATTTTGATAATTTATTAACTGTAAATGCTCTAAAGTTTAAACTATAAGACATTCCAACTAAAAAAGATCTGAGCAGACACTGTGGCCTACTGGCTAAGGGAAATGGGTCCCCAGGTGATTGACCACATGGTTCAAATTGAGGCTCCAGTGGCTTGAAAAACTTGCCAAGCATATGTACAAGCTTGCTCCAAATTCCAACAAGATAAGGGATTGTGATCTGATCACATCCCATTGTGGGTGTGCTTTCTTTTTCTTCCTCTGGTGAGCATATACACCCTCTGATAAAAATAAATAAGACCAAAATATAAGCTCTATTAATACAAACCCCTTTAAAGAATAAAGTAAAAATATAGAAAAAAAATAATACCATGCAGAAACTAATTTTAAAAATAAAGCGGCTACACTAATATCAAATATTTAATAGTAAAGAATATTATCTGTGGTAAAGAGAGGCATTTTATAGTAAAAGAGTGGTCAGTTCATTAGGAGGACATAAAAATCTTAAATGTATATGCACAGAGCTTCAAAATACATGAAGCAAAAACATAGGACTAAAACAATTATAGTTTGATATTTTAACACTAAATTGTATAGCGCACTTTAAAACTTCCCCTGTTCAGAAAGAAGTTTAGGGAAAATAGAAAAAAATTAATTTTTAATTGCCGAAGGTACGTGCACTCACCAGAGAGAAAAAAAGCATTCCCCGCCCAACCAGTGCAGCATGGTCATACCACAATACCTTCTTCATTTCTCTATCCTCTTGGGATTTGGGGCACACATGCACATGTGCACATATATACATGCACACCTGGTGTTTTTCAAGCTACTGGGACCAGGATTCAAACTGTAGTCAGCCATGTGGCATCAGCTTCCTTAGTCACTGCTACAGGGCCAGTCCTAGAAAATATTTTTTAAATTAATAAAAAAATGAAGCTGAATATAAACATTTGTAGGATGCAGCAAAGATTCACCACTGGATAGACTGATGAGGAAAGAGAAAATTATCAATATCATTAATTGAAGGGGGGCATCACTACAGATCCTGGCTACACTGAAATAGTAAGGATATTTTATACAAAACTTTATGCCAATTAATTTGATAGTCTTGATTAAATTGGCACTGTCTTTAAAAAGACAAACTATCGGAACCAGCAGTTAGCGTAATGGCTATGTCACTGGACTCCCATGTAGTCGACCACGGTTTGCGTCCCGGACCC